GACACAAGAATGTTGTTGCTCAAACCATGCTATGGTCAGATAGACGCACCTCGCGGCTGGTTCTTGGAAGCAGTCGACAGGCTGCTACGTGCTGGACTCCGACAGCATCCACTGGACCCATGCTGCTTCCTGGCCTTCGAGACTGACAGCCCAAACTATGACGCCCAAGATCCTGTGCATCAAACTGTTCAAAGCCTAGGCGATGAGCGGTTGGTCGGCATGATCATCATGCACGTGGACGACATGTTGGGCAGTGGCTGCTTGGATTCTCCTCGGTACCAAGAGGTCGTTCGCACCCTCAAAGACACCTTCTCCTTCCGGGAGTGGAAACAGGACCTCGACAAGCTCGAATACTGTGGTTGCGAGCTCACAAAGACCGAGGAAGGTGGCCGCCGGCTTCATCAAGAGGCCTACATGGGAAAGGTCAGCCCCATCACCTTCAACAAGGGCAGAGCCTTGACTGAGGCACTCCGCACTTGCAGTGTTCTACGTCCATGCTATCCAGCCAGGTCAACAAAGCAACGGTGCACACACTTCATGAGTGCAACCGCCTACTGAAGTTCTGCAAAGAGAACAAGGATGTCGGGCTCATCTACAACCACATCGGTGAGCCGCAACAGCTTCAGATGATCACGTTCTTCGATGCTGGCTTTGGTTCAAGGCCGGATGGCAATTCCGGTGGCTATGTGATCATGTTGGTGAACAAGGCCCTGCTGACATCATCCGAGGAAGGCCAGTATCACATTCTCCACTGGCGCAGCTTCCGAACACCCAGAGTGGCCCGAAGTTCCTTAGGAGCAGAAGCACAAGCTGGAGGCCAAGCGGCGGACGCCACTGAGTTCGCATGTCGCTTTTGGGAGCACCTGCTTCATCCTGCCCTACCTCTCCAAGATCTACTGAAGGTCAAGTCTCAGTTGACCCCACAGCTGATCACGGACGCGAAAGCTCTCTACGACTCGTACCATCGTGAGGGCATCAGTTCATCAGTGATCGAGAAGAGGATCAGCCTCGAGATCCGTGTGATGAAGGAGAGAATGCAGGACATTGGTGGGTCCCTTCGGTGGGTCTCCTCAGAGAGACAGCTTGGTGACGGGTTCACCAAGGAAAGTGCTCGCGCATTGCTGGCAGCCCGGCTACGACATGGCAGGATCAAGTTGACATGGGATCCGTCGTACACCGCGGCCAAGCGCAAGACCAAAGCAGAGCGCCACAAGGCCATTGCTGAGTCCACCGAGCACTACAAGCCAGAGGACCCCCCGGACTTTGACAAGCCCGCTCAGAATGAACACATGGTTGAGAATGAGTTGCCCCCTGACACCAAGAACACTCAGAAGTTCTTTGACGCCCTTGAGGACTCTGGCGAAACTGAGAACATGGAGCTTTGTGAGTATGTCCACTTTGCACAGAACAACCCCGCTCCCACGTATGTGTTCCTAGCCAGCCATGTCGCTCACCGCAAGCATGCCATGGACACGGGTCGCGTGAAGTATGTCCTCAAATGGTTGGTTTGGTGGTCAACGATGGTTGCAGCAACTGGTGAAACCAATACATGTTCCACAACCGAAGCACCAGAAGAACAAGACAGCCTATGGTTCTGGATTTTGGTTTTAGCTGCTGTTCACGTCATGGCACTCCTCGGCATGTTCATTTTGGGCCGTTGCACCAAGTCCCTTTTTCCACCGGCACGACATGATGTCTCCACCCAGAAGGACGAAGCTGTAGTCCCACAAAGACTGAGGCAGCTGAACACCAAGCTTCAGGCAGATCACAACCACAGCCTACGTCAGGTTGAAGAGTCGAAGAAAGCTGCACAAGAAGCCCGTGCTGCGTTGGCATTCCAAGGAGAGGAACTGGATGCTTTGCGCAACCTGTGCTTGGCTGCCCGAGATCTGTTCCGCAACCTTGAAGCGGAGATGGAAGACCATGCTGCTCGATGCCCCTTCACCCGAGAGATCTATGCCTCGAAGCGAGGCGAGTGCTGGCATTTGCAGTCATGCCACCTGACGGAGCAGATCACCGAAAAGAATTTGCTCGTCATGCGACGATGCCCGTACTGCGCTGGAGTGAATCCACCACCTGACCGAATGCTGTACCCACAGGGTTGGCGCATCAGACACGATGTGCGCCATTGGTACAGAGCTTTTGAGCAGTACAGTTCTCCCTCCATGTGAAGATGTACGCTGTACATCACTTTGTTTCATGAAACCACATGATCCGTCCGCAGAGGGCGGGCTCAGCTTGCCAGAAAAGGTGCGGTGCGGCGGCCCATCGTTCGGTCGCCCCTCTTGACTTCGGTTCGTTCATCGATCCACCTCCTGCTGGAGAACATCGTGCGTTTCCAGTTTCTACAGAGTGGATTTTCAACATCTGCCCCAGGAGGTAGTCAAGCACACCAAGGAAGACTTTGGTGGAGCCATGGCCGCACAACCATCAGCCCTTTTGCGTTCCTCAAACCAGGCCAGGAGACGCTGCCTAGCGACGATTTGGCGCTCCATGCAGACCCAACTGGTTGTGTGGCCTTCTGTCTTTGTGCTGAGAGCTGCGAAGCGAAAAAACAATGGGAACCAGACTTGAAAACAAGCAAGGAAAGAAAAGAGAGCCCCCGGCGTTGGAGCCCACACTTGCACGAGGCCTGTGCCTCGGCAAACCTGAGCTCCCGACAGACCATGTACACACACTTCCCAGTCCAGATTGTGCACAAGGTCACTCACAATGTGAGGCATTAAAGCTGGGGGAGGTTGCGCTTGATGCCTGCAAACGACACAAACATAATGCGGACAATCCTGCTGACAACCCCTATGTCATTGTTGGGTCTATGAAGGAAGATGCACGATCGAGCAATATCCCCCAATACCGGAGACCTCTACTCTGGCGAGAGCCAATGAAGAGGGAATTCTTGATTGCAAGTTTCGGGCAGGTCATCTCCTTTGCCTCCCCAGGTCTGGCAGTGGTTTTCCCTGAGCCTCATGTGTCTAGCAATCCATTTCCGACAATTTTGCCTACAAACTCGTATGATGTTGGCCTTGAGTGTTTCATTTGCCTCTGCTTGAGCTGCTGCTCAAGCACTCTTGCAACTCCAGTCTTTGCAACACGGTGAAACACTGTGCTTGACCGAAGTGGCCTCTTTTGAAGCATGGCACCTCGGCTGCAGGAGTCCTCGTACGAAGGATTCAAGGGTTTTGACTGCTGCGAGTATGCTGAAACTGCCTTTCTTGTGGAGATCAAAATGACGTGATGATGACGTACTGAGTGCAAAGGCTGAATTCATCGCCCCTCGTCTCACTTTTCTCAACTGGCTGACCTAGCCGGCTCGAGTTACGAACCTGGCCTTGTTTTGGGCTTGTTGGTGTTTGGTTTTGGTGTTTTTTGGTTTGTTTTGGTGCGGTGTTACTTGGCTACTTGGTTCGTAACTCTCTCTTCACTAGCTTAAGGTGACTTGTGCATCCTCTGCACACATAGCGCCTCGACCCGTGCAAAAAAACATGAGCTCCTCCATGAAAGACGGCCAAACCAGACCATAGGACAGAGACTGGGTTGCCCACGGAGAAACTGAACAGTTTTGGCGAGTGGTCCGGTGGTCCAGTGGATGGGAGGACTGGGTGAGGAACAACAGCCGCAACTTCACAGATGCCTACACCATCCAGCTCTGCTTCGGGTCGAGGTTTCGCCGGAGCAAAGACCATGAAGCCTACTGCATGTCTCATACCGTGACTTCTTCCTGACAACTCCTGTGTGGACGTCGTTCTGCGGAAGCACAACAAGGCGGTTACTACACATAAACTATCTTTTCTGTGTACAAAGGCTAGTCGCAAGCTGAACAGCCAGAGTACGCTAAAACATATGCAGTGCCTGCTGTGTGTCACCTCGTGCTACTTTGTCACGTTTTTC